ATCATGATGATTTAATGCATGTCGGAGTAGATAAGACTGTGGGGAAAATCCGACAACAGTTCTTTTGGCCGAATATGTTTCGGGATGTACGGGAGTACGTGCGAAAATGCACTGTGTGTAAACAAATAAAACCACCGAATGTTGCTACTACTCCACCCATGGGAGACATGCGTACCGCCTCTAGGCCTTGGCAAATAATTGCCTTAGATTATATAGGCCCCCTTCCCCGGTCCACCACTGGTAAACAGTACATCTTAGTAACAATGGATCTGTTCAGTAAATGGGTTCAGTTACATGCGTTCCCCAAAATTTCAGCTAAAACCCTGTGTACTGAACTTGTAGATCATTGGTTTTTCCGCAACTCGGTGCCAGCGATATTGCTGACCGATAACGCGACAACATTTACTTCGCATGTATTTCGCGCCCTGTTGGATCGGTTCGGGATTCAACAGTGGTTAACATCACGTTACCATTCTCAGGCGAACCCTGTTGAGCGGGTGAACCGTGGAATCAATACGGCAATTCGTTCATACGCGCGGGAGAATCAGAGGACTTGGGATTCTCGGTTATCTGAAATAGAAGTAGTCATAAATTCGACCATACACTCGGCTACTGGATATAGTCCTTTCAGGATTGCCAAGGGGGAGGAGGTTATTCTCAGAGGAACAGATCATTCACGTTTTGAAAACGAAGAAGAATCGTCTCTAGAAGAACGAACCGCCCGAATCAAGACCCAAAACCCTGTTTTGTACGCTCTTGTTCAAAAACATTTGCTGAAAGCACACCAGGTTGCCAAAAAAAACCTATAACCTACGAACCCGAAATCCCGCTAAGCCGTTCAAAATAGGCGAGACAGTGTATAAGAAAAACACTAAGCTGTCGAACGCAAACGAGTTTTTTAATGCCAAACTTGGTGCTCAGTACCTACCATGTACGGTGATCGCAAAGCACGGGTCATCGTCCTATGAATTGCTCGATAGCAATGGCCGAAACGTCGGTGTATGGCCAGCCAACCTTTTGAAACCGGCCTAACAATAGCCATCGAACCTAGTGTTTGCTAGGTTCTCAGAGTGTCACCGTTCTCGGTATCTGACTGTGAGCGCTGAAACAAAAGATAGCAATAAATTAGTTGAAATACATTCACTACCTTCTTAGTTCCTCGTTAATTGTAATACTTACCCTCTGTCCTTTACCTCTGGGTCTCAGACAATCGCTTTCCGCGGGGCGAGTCATGACGACCGTTTCGGTTCTATAGGTGTCCTGTAAGTTACAATACGCGAAGAGCTACGGCCCGTCAAGCTGAGGAGACGTCCTCGAGTCACGGGAAATTAAAACAATACGCGCGCGGGCTCCGTCCTACACATGACGAGAGCCAATCGATAACTACTGTCCGGACAGACACCGATCGATCTCAAAGCAGGTCGATTGGGAACAGTTCACCACATCGGTAACTGTTATACGATCGTTAATTTTAGTAATGGTGTGAAGAACACCTACCAACGCGAATAGCCGCTTCGTGACCTTTGTCCAGTGTAATGAGCGCGAGTAATCCTACACTGTATGTGTCCTGTATTCGTGTCCTGTTAGTATTGGCGGATACACTTTGTTTAATCGCGTTTATCGTGGGTATACACTTGCCAGACCAAATAGTATCTATTCGTCCGTTATCCGAATAAATCCTGTCCCGTGAGACAGTCGGTAACCCGTCGGTTCATTGCGACCATTGCTGGTCGCCGGGACAGAAAATATGTTGTGGAAGAGAAATAACTAAATTCGTAGTATAACACCACTCCAGAACGTCCAGGGGGTTTGTGAGAGGGAAATAGCGGTTCTATTAGCTGAAGTTTTGATCCATCTAGCCCTGCGGACTCACCAGAGGTTCTGGAGCAAAGTGGATGCATTGCCTCGATTTAATTTAGTATATTTTGTTTTGCATGATTTTCCTTATCGTTATTATCCCACATAGTGTTTAGTGTATTTTTTGAATGCTTCCTTGTTATATTAAAAAAAAAAAAAAAAAATAGTAAATTCATTCCTTTTTTTTTTACCCGACCAGAAGGGGATATGTTACCGGTTCGTAACATTTGATTGAGGTGGTGTAAGAGTAGGGTCAGTTTTGCTAATTTAGATAGCTCCATAACGTCACTTTTAAAGGGACCGATAAGGTAGGGCACAGCGATGATGGAGGTGTTTTGCTGCATGGGCGAAGCGACCACTGTCCACTGAACCACCACCGACTTGTCACTCCTCTATGGGAGACGGAAACCAGCTACGAGATTAACGGGCGAAGCTGAGAGTCGAGGAGGAGGTGAGCGATCGTTCGGCCGAGAGAGAGGATAGGCAGTAAGTTGCAGGCGGTGATAAGAGAAAGGTCGGTTTTTTCTACGAGGTGCGAGTGAGTGTTGGAGTTTTTTTTGTACTTGGGGTGATTGCTCGTCGATCACGGTGCAAGAGCGTTGGCCACGTGTTTCGGGATCGCTACCTGGCTATCGCAATTTGGCCATCGCCATCCGGCCCCTGCCATACAGACACTGCCATCTGGTTATTGCCATCCGGCCATCGCCATCCAGCCATCGCTATCCGGCCGTTGCCATCCGGCCATCGCCATCCGGCCGTCGCCATCCAGCCATTGCCATCTTCCCATCGCCTTTTGACCACCGCTTTCGGCCACCGCCTTCGGCCCAGCCATACGGCCCAGCCATACAGCCACCACCATCCGGCCCCTGCTATCTGGCCACCACCCTTTGGCCACCGCTATCCGGCCACCGTCAGCTGGCCACTGTCATTCGGCCACCGCCATCCGGCCACCGCCATCTGGCCGCCGCCACCCGGCCATTGCCATCCGGCCACTGCCAACCGGCCACTACCATCTGGTCACTACCATCCGGCTGTTCCATTCCGTCGTCGTGACAGTCAACGTCGCCTCGCACACCAGTCCCCATCGATCCGCCCAATAAAAATTGTGAAGGTAAATTCATATACTGTGTTAGTTAGGAAAGCTCAGAACCGAAAATTCCCCCTCACCTACCAATCCTGAGACCCGGGAGCAAAAGAGGCCTTTGGTACCCACCCCAGTGGCTGCCGACAGGCTTAGACCAGCAGCCAGGGGTTTAGGCACGTCCCCTTCTGGGACGGCGCAGTATCTCCCGGGGACCAACAAAAAGAGTTTCAACACAGATAACGTACGAAGATGTCTACGCATTGTCGTTTCCCTCACCAGAAGGGGTGTACAAAAATCTTCCTTGGAGGAGCCTACAAACATCGAAGCAGAACTAGCGGCTCCGATAATTCGATGTATCACGGTAATATATCCATTACGCTAGATTTTGCTGTTGTTACTGTTCATTTTTTTTTTGCAGGATGCTGAAACAGCTCTGAACAATTAATGAAGTAGGGGAATTTACGTATTCTCGGCAACCTAAGCAGCGACCTTCTTTCTATAGCCTTTTTCTCTAAGGAACGCACACATATGCAGTATTGGTTTGTTTACAATCTTTTGCTGCCAGCTGCTCTAACAATTTCAGTCGAAAGAATTGTCAAAAACTGTTTTGAAACGCTTTTACAAAGCTCCAATCTTCTCTAGTGAGAGCGAGTATTGTCGGCAACCAGTTTTTCTTCGGCAACCGTTCCATTTGAACTGCATGTAAATCTGCTGTTCTATTATCGGCAACTCGAAATCAGCTACAATTTGTAGTGCGTGTGTTTCATTTCAAGAAAACCTTGCTAGATTGCTTTTTCTCAGTGGTAATAATATAGTCAAATTGAAGCTGAAAGCATAAAGAATCGTTTGCATGCATTCAGCGAAGTGTTTTCGTAAGAAAATCCAATGAAAATAGTGTTTCAATTTGGGTTGCCGAAAATAGTCTGGCATGCCGAAGCCGTCATTTCCCCTATGTTGCCTGGAATATCGATGCTAACGTTGATATGGCGCCCCATCTGATTTTCAACAGCAACAATTACTTCATTTACGTTGACGCTCAACTCATCCACGGTGGAATTGACTCCATCCACGCGTTGGACACTCTATTTAAAGTGTTCATTGTTTTCAACATTCATCCGCCAGCAGAAGTGCAGAAAATTATTGATTTCATAGAGATCATATGTTATGGAATCAAAACCGAGATCAAAATCGTTTGGTTTCATCGTTCAAGGAATCCATCCATGCTGCCGAAAAAGATGCTGATGAATAATGTATTACTATCATTGTTTTCATAAATTATTGCAATGATGTTCAATAAAAACCAAGTTCAGTAATCTATAATTTTCATTTTATTGATTGATTTTAAAATTATTGCAAATTCTCAAATTTCAGATTAGCTCCCGTCAAAACATTTAAAAAATGATTACTTTGTACCCAGTTACAGAAAACAATGCATTCTGCAAATGGGTCAAAAGTACCCCATGATTTGACGTATAAGCTCTTCACCCATTAGTGGGTAAAGTTTTTTTTCTTTAAACTTTGGGCCGTATGAATAAAAAGAGTTTACTTTACTTTCCGGTGTTTTTCTTACGGGAAAAGTAAAGTAAACGCTTTTATTCATACGACCTTTTATTTAAGACTTTGACTATATGTTTTAGTATTACTTCTACGTGAAGTCAACGATTTACATAGTTGAAGAAATTACCACTACAGTCTGTTATTTGAAATTAGCATCTTCAACTATTTATTTAAGAGATTTTTAGCCTTAGGCTAGTTCATCTCTAAATTAGGGGGTAAAGACGTTTTACCCATTTTATGAGTTTACCTACTTTACCGCAAAATGAGCACTTTTTCACCCATTAATAGGTACTTTCCAGTTACAGTGTATACATCATCATTTTTGTAATAGCGGATCTGAAATCTAGGTGTCGCATGACCAGTTTAGGCTTTGCTTTGATTCGCCAAAAGGGTTTATTTTTCTTACCGTGATCATGATTCCGCATCCCAATAAGTGTACTAAACTCATTTGTACTAAACTGTGCGACAATTTGTGTTGTGAATGTAATACGTAAACAAAAACGCACGTGCATAGCGAAGGTTCGGTTTTCATATGGAATTTATCCTACGTAGAACGTAATTTTAACCATGGAATTGTTCGCAGTAAATAGGTACTATTTTTACAGCAATGGCATTCGTGTAACATCTATCAAAACTTGTTTAATTTTCCAGATATGACGGAAATAAACTCAGTAAAGCGGACGAGCTTGAGCAGGAAGAGTTGATTCTGCAACGGCTTCAATCGCTTAAACACAAGGTCGAACGCCAAAAGAAACCAAACACTCCGGAAAAAGATATCTTGGACGAAGAACAGGAGAAAGAATCAGACACTGTTGAGGACACAGGCCTAAACCAAGGGGATGGACCGGAAAGCGACAAAGAAAGTCCCATTCTGGAAGAAAATTTAACTGATGTTGCTGATATAGATAATGATTCTGCTAAACAGGATAAACCAGCAGATTTTGTGGTGCTCGGTGACGATCACTTCAGGAAGCTTAAAAAAGTCGATGAAGTGCTTCCTCCATGGCTATCACATCCAAGCATAATTGATAGTGATCTTAGCAAAAAGGGGAAGTCCATCAAGAAACTGTCCTACCTTGAAGAACAGCTCAAGGCGAATTTAAAAGAAATGGGCTATAAGCGGCTTTTTCCAGTGCAAGACATGGTTATTCCCTGGATATTGGAAGCTCATCGGAAGCCGGCTCCTTTTTGGCCTCGAGACGTTTGTATATCTTCTCCGACAGGAAGTGGTAAAACGCTGGCATTTGCTATTCCGATTGTCCAACTACTGTTAAAGAGAATTTCTCCTGCTATTCGAGCGTTGGTAATTTTGCCAGTGAAGGAACTTGCGGAACAGGTCTTTGGGGTTTTCGACAAGCTTTGCAAAGGTACGAAGATTCGTCCGTTATTGCTGTCACGCAAACAGGTGTTTAGTGTGGAACAAGCAAAGTTGGTAGATCAATTCAACGGCGAATATATTCCAAAAGTGGACATCGTTGTCACAACAGCAGGTCGGTTGGTAGAACACTTGCATTCAACGAAAGGATTCACGCTAAAACATCTTCGTTTTTTGATTATTGATGAAGCCGATCGCGTAATGGATCAAATTCAGAATGATTGGTTGTATCACCTCAATAAGCATGTGAAGGAAGAATCGGATGAGTATTTGCTAGGAAGGGCAGCGGGGCAACTGTCACAGACGGAGCTCTTCGATAAACCTCGACAACCGCACAAGTTACTGTTTTCCGCCACTCTGAGTCAAGATCCGGAAAAGCTTCAAACGTTTAAATTGTTCCACCCGAAGCTATTTACTGCTGTGTCGAATCCAGCGAAACGCATGGCAGCATTAACGAAACTGCATGTCAATGCTGAGGAAAAACGTGGCAAATTCGTTGGACAATATACAACTCCTTTGGAGTTGCGCGAATTGATATGTATGACTCAGTACAAGATCAAACCCTTGACTTTGTTTGCTTTGGTAAAGGAAAACAATTACAAACGATTCCTGTGCTTTACCAATTCAATCGATGCATCGCATAGGCTCTCGTTTGTGCTGCAGAAAATGTTTGGGAACGAATTGATTATCGAGGAATGGTCATCTTCGTTAAACCCTACTGCTAGAAAAAGTGTGCTGAACCGATTTGCGTTGGGAAAAGTTAATGGGTAAGACCGATTGATAAATTTCCTTGCATTATAAAATTGCAAACGAACCTAATTTCAGCATCATTTGTACGGACGCACTTGCTCGAGGTATCGATATAGACGACATCGATGTGGTAATTTCTTACGACATGCCCAGGCACATTAACACTTACATTCACCGGATTGGTCGTACGGGTCGAGCTGGTAATCGTGGCACTTCGATTACGATGTTGATCGACGAAGAACGGAAAAAGTTCAATGTGAGTTTTGATCGACTAAATAACATGATAAATTGTTTAAAACTGTATCTTTTTTTTTAAAGTCGACCTTGACGGAAGCCGGAAAGGGCGGGCTTGAGATTGTGGAAATCAAATCTAATGCCGAGGAAGAGTATGCTATGCTGTATTCGAGTGCCTTGAATGATCTACGCGAAGCGCTCGATTTGGAGAAACAGACTATCAACAAAATACGCAACGGAATGTCGATCGCCAATTTGGTAAGTTTAAATCAACTGAGTCCACGTTGAACATTGATAGGATTGCAATACAAACGATCTTTTCTTATTCAGACCAAAGTAAATCTGCTGAGCAAGCTGAAAGATCGTATCGATATCGAAACCACCAATACAACCGAGACAATTAAATCATTGGTGCATCTACCGAAAGCCTGGACAAACGAAGCTATCGAAAAACGTGCCAACGAATCGAGCGAGAGGAAACGAAAGCAAAAACAACAGGTTGAAAATTCGGGAGGCAGTACCGAGAAAGGAGGAAATGATTCTGCTAACGGTGTTTTGGCTAAAAAACGGAAGTTTTTTGGGAAAAATAACATTACCGGAAAAGGCCGGAAAATACCGAAGAAGGTTGAACAAGCTAATAGCAAGTAAACATTAATAATTCAACTATAATTCATTGGAAGTCCTTGATCGATAATCTCACCATCCGTGTGAACAAGAAATCATAAATTTGGTTGGTTGATTGCCTGTATTAGCGAGACTTTCGCCTGACTGGTAGAGTTAGGTAAGTTAAGATGAGCATGATCGGAATCAACGAGCTCCCACATTATTTCCCGCTATGCTATTTCAGACCTCTATCCACCAGACTATAAATATATCGACTATATGGGGGAAGGGTCACTTTGGGAATTTAGGAAGCGTACTTGTGGTGGTAAGCTCCAACCTGTATTATCCTCGGATTAAATCCCGATCAAGAATGACAGGCTGCTTTAATGTCGACATCAGAGTTAATTAATACAACTCTAAGCAAACACTTTGCAGATCATCCAAACAGGGACGGTATTAAAAGTTAATCCGAGTTGGAGCTTACCACCATTAAGGCCCACGCACATTAGATCCGGATCGGACGCGTTGCGGCAAAGTGACAGCTAAATCTATTGTCTAACTGTCAAATTTATGTCAACGCAACGCAAACGGATCTAATGTGGGGCGTACTTTGGTTCGCGTGTAAAGGGCCTTAAAAAGTTTGTTTACAAAATCTTTTGCGCCGCTATTAAATGTTACGCTTGAAATGTATACAACTGTCAAACGCGACTCGCATCAAAATTTTCACTTTTGAAATTGAAAATTTGCCTTTGTTCTGCGAGGGGGGCGACACATCTAAATTTCAATTTTAGATGCTCAAAAAATTTCACACTAGCGAATCATTCTTCAAAAAATCTTCTTGCATTTCTCGCATCTACTTGCATCGCGCATCATCTTTTTGCAGGAAATCTTCAGAATCGTCATCAATCGTCTTTCTAATCCACTCAGCGTGTGCTAGCCACAGCAAAACACAATCTTTCCTGCAGCGTAGATAGAGTCGTCCCCCTCGTTTTTCTGTACGTTTTGGTGATCAAATTATTGGAAAAGTGGTCTTCTACAAAATAGTTTCAATAATATATGTGCTTGCAATCAGGAAAAAGTTGACGCAAGCTCCACCGTTTAACATTTTCATTGTTGTTGCAGGATCGTTGCATTATCCCGGGATGTAACGAGGACAAATTTCCACTTTTTCGGGTTCCGAACTCGGGGAGCAACAAATTAGCGTAGTGGAGAAAGACGAACAGAGCGAACATGCTCCCATCATTTTGTTGAAGTTGATTTTTTAGAATATTAGTCCCAAACAGGGTTGCTTCCACTCACTTGCTATAAAAAAAATGATTTTCTGATTTTTGAAATCATTAGATGTTATAATGATATTTTGTACTTGTTAGATACAAGAAGATGTTGAAAGGCAAGAATCTGACGCATAAAACTGGTCAATTTCACTTCCAGAGTGCAGGGTTGCTTCCACTCACTTGCTATAAAAAAATATTATTCGGAATTGTGCAATCATTAGATGCAATAATGCTATGTTGTACTTGTAAGTAACAAGAAGAGGTAGTAAAGTATGTGTTTGACTCATAAAACCTGTCAATTTCGCTTTGAGAGCGTCACAATTAGCGATCTTATGATTCGTGAGCGTTCACTCAGAGTGAGCGCTCACGAGTCGTAAAATCGCTGATTGTGACGCACTGAAAGCAATTTTGACAGATTTTATGTGTCAAACATATACTTCATGACCTCCTCTTGTAACTTACAAGTACTAATTAGCATTATACCATATCATGATTTCATAATTCCGAAAAACATGTTTTTATAGCAAGTGAGTGGAAGTAACCCTGCCAGAGTGTTACAATCAGCAATTTTATGATTCGTGAGCGTTCACTCAGAGTGAGCGCTCGCGAGTCGTAAAACCGCTGATTGTGACTATCTGAAAGCGAATTTGACAGGTTTTATGTGTCAAACACTTGCCTTTCAACCTCTTCTTGTATCTAACATGTACAAAATATCATTATAACATCTAATGGTTTCAAAATTCAGGAAATCATTTTTTTATAGCAAGCGAGTGGAAGCAAGCCTGCTGCTGATATACTGGTGTAGCATAGGCACACAATATGCTAGGTCTCTAAATCCGCTAGCACGGAGTCCCCAACATAATCCATTATATCCAGCAGACTGACTTGGACGTCGTTTTCAGGATGGGAATATAATGCAATCATACAAAACATAACCTAAAAAATATCGATGCATAAAAAAACGCATTTTCATTATCTTTCAATGACATTGCAATGAAAATTAACGTAACATTACATTATTCGACAAATTTCTTACATTTATCATCGCAAATAATGATCGTATCTTACTATTTTGAACTCGTTTTCAATAATTTATCATTCAAACTCTGGAATTTGAACCGGCTTTCATAAATTTATCACCATCGACTAGTACTATTTCCCGCCACTAGTGACGCATAAATTTCACTTAAGTTTAGGTTGGATTTCTCAATTGAGAAATCCAACTTAAACTCATGCGCGCCTGGTGGCAGGAATAAGTACTAACCGACGGTGATGAGTCTGTGACAGCCCTTGAAAATTTCATTGATTGTTTGCAAAATTATTTAATTTCAATGTAATTTCATGAAAATTTCTTGTCAGCATGGATGAATCTTGTACAAAATGCATAAAACTATTTTGTAATGCATTGTTCTTAAATAAAAAGCTACTTCAAAACTTATAAATTACTGAAAACATGTTAAGGTTTGAAATCATCTGCCGATTAAACAACAGACAAAGTTGGCCGACTAAATCAATCGACGAAAAACTATTAAATAGGCCGATTGCTCGGTGTAGCACCAGACGAAAAACGATTTAATCTGCTGATTAATACACCGACTGAAATTAATTTTTAAGTGACAATAGATTTAGTCGGTGGACGAATCGGGTGATTTGGATGATGTTTGTTTATTTGGAAGATATTTTCGAAACAAAGCACGATAAAATTCAGCATTATATACCATTATTACGAGTACTACTTTTTTGCTCGGATCATGTTTTGACTTCCACAGAAACTCGCTAGAATAAATAGAAAATAATAGTTTTTTGGTTGAAATTTCAAAAATGTATTCAGTTTGACACATTATTTCGGACTTATCACCGCTGCGATTGCAGCGTCACGGTGGTCGATTGAAACATGGATTTGTCAATTTAAGAATCCAAGTTAAACTCATGCGCGCCTGGTGGCAGGAATAAGTACTAGCCGACGGTGATGAGTCTGTGACAGCCCTTGAAAATTTCATTGATTGTTTGCAAAATTATTTAATTTCATTGTAATTTCATGAAAATTTCTTGTCAGCATGGATGAATCTTGTACAAAATGCATAAAACTATTTTGTAATGCATTGTTCTTAAATAAAAAGCTACTTCAAAACTTATAAATTACTGAAAACATGTTAAGGTTTGAAATCATCTGCCGATTAAACAACAGACAAAGTTGGCCGACTAAATCAATCGACGAAAAACTATTAAATAGGCCGATTGCTCGGTGTAGCACCAGACGAAAAACGATTTAATCTGCTGATTAATACACCGACTGAAATTAATTTTTAAGTTACAATAGATTTAGTCGGTGGACGAATCGGGTGATTTGGATGATGTTTGTTTATTTGGAAGATATTTTCGAAACAAAGCACGATAAAATTCAGCATTATATACCATTATTACGAGTACTACTTTTTTGCTCGGATCATGTTTTGACTTCCACAGAAACTCGCTAGAATAAATAGAAAATAATAGTTTTTTGGTTGAAATTTCAAAAATGTATTCAGTTTGACACATTATTTCGGACTTATCACCGCTGCGATTGCAGCGTCACGGTGGTCGATTGAAACATGGATTTGTCAATTTAAGAATCCAAGTTAAACTCATGCGCGCCTGGTGGCAGGAATAAGTACTAGCCGACGGTGATGAGTCTGTGACAGCCCTTGAAAATTTCATTGATTGTTTGCAAAATTATTTAATTTCATTGTAATTTCATGAAAATTTCTTGTCAGCATGGATGAATCTTGTACAAAATGCATAAAACTATTTTGTAATGCATTGTTCTTAAATAAAAAGCTACTTCAAAACTTATAAATTACTGAAAACATGTTAAGGTTTGAAATCATCTGCCGATTAAACAACAGACAAAGTTGGCCGACTAAATCAATCGACGAAAAACTATTAAATAGGCCGATTGCTCGGTGTAGCACCAGACGAAAAACGATTTAATCTGCTGATTAATACACCGACTGAAATTAATTTTTAAGTGACAATAGATTTAGTCGGTGGACGAATCGGGTGATTTGGATGATGTTTGTTTATTTGGAAGATATTTTCGAAACAAAGCACGATAAAATTCAGCATTATATACCATTATTACGAGTACTACTTTTTTGCTCGGATCATGTTTTGACTTCCACAGAAACTCGCTAGAATAAATAGAAAATAATAGTTTTTTGGTTGAAATTTCAAAAATGTATTCAGTTTGACACATTATTTCGGACTTATCACCGCTGCGATTGCAGCGTCACGGTGGTCGATTGAAACATGGATTTGTCAATTTAAGAATCCAAGTTAAACTCATGCGCGCCTGGTGGCAGGAATAAGTACTAGCCGACGGTGATGAGTCTGTGACAGCCCTTGAAAATTTCATTGATTGTTTGCAAAATTATTTAATTTCAATGTAATTTCATGAAAATTTCTTGTCAGCATGGATGAATCTTGTACAAAATGCATAAAACTATTTTGTAATGCATTGTTCTTAAATAAAAAGCTACTTCAAAACTTATAAATTACTGAAAACATGTTAAGGTTTGAAATCATCTGCCGATTAAACAACAGACAAAGTTGGCCGACTAAATCCATCGACGAAAAACTATTAAATAGGCCGATTGCTCGGTGTAGCACCAGACGAAAAACGATTTAATCTGCTGATTAATACACCGACTGAAATTAATTTTTAAGTGGCAATAGATTTTGTCGGTGGACGAATCGGGTGATCTGGATGATGTTTGTTTATTTGGAAGATATTTTCGAAACAAAGCACGATAAAATTCAGAATTATATACCATTATTACGAGTACTACTTTTTTGCTCGGATCATGTTTTGACTCCTACAGAAACTCGCTAGAATAAATACAAAATAATAGTTTTTTGGTTGAAATTTCAAAAATGTATTCAGTTTGACACATTATTTCGGACTGATCACCGCTGCGATTGCAGCGCCACGGTGGCCGATTGAAACTTGGATTTGTCAATTGATTTTGAGAATTTACAGCACTGCTCATTACCGCTGCGATTGCAGCGCCACGGTGGCCGATTCAAACTTGGATTTCAAGCTAAACATTGCATTAGGCCCGAAGTACCATTGATTGAATCTCTTCGTCGACTTTCTCTTTCGTTCCCTAATAAAAATTGTATGGTTAATTTGCTTAACGACGTGTTCTGAGTATTATCCAAACCATTTGTTGAATAGTTCGATGATTTGGGTTATCGTTCGTTTATGGTTATTTTTATTAGGGTTAATAACTTGAGCACATAACCGTTTCTTGTTGTGTTTCTCGTATTGCATGCTAGACAACAGCTTCTTTTTTCGATCTGTGTGCAGAAAATTCCTGGGAATGTCTTTACATGGCCGTGGGGATACAAAGAGAAAGTCGACGAAGAGAATCTGTCAATGTTATTTGAGACTTAATGCAATGTTCAGCTTGATTTGTTAATTTAAAAAATGGAAGAAATAAAAAATTTTCAGTGTACATATAAAATATTATTGCGATGTTTTTAGCAACACCTTGAAAGCGAGAAAAAAATTACAGCAACTGTCAAAAACCTTACGTTTTTTTATGTTCAATCCTCCTTCATCAGTCACTCGTGCGGCATCGCCAGTTTTCTTGAAAATTTTAATAAATTCCATTTTTTCCAATAAAAATGAGCTCCAAATCGGACACCAAGAACAAGGGAACATTCCAACCGGTAGGCATATTCTAACCCCTAAAATGAACCGGAAATGATAAGAGTTATTTCCTTTTTTGGCATCACAGGACTCAGATGTGCACATCACAATCGATGACCAGATGAAGATCAACAAATTTGCAAACTACAACGCCAAGGTGGAAGATCTCAAGGAGGAGCTGAAGATCAGGCAAAACGAGTTGAAGAATCTGGAGGAAGCGGGTGATGAAATCGAACTGCTGGACGACGATACCCAAATACCGTTTTTGATTGGCGAGGTATTCATGTCGCACGATTTACCGAGAACGCAGGTAGGTGTTGGTTTAGTAATTTTATTAAAACACAGTTTTGAACTCATTTAAATTTATCACAATCTAGGAACTGCTGGCTGAAGCAAAAGAGAAGAAAAAACAGGAGATCGAGAACATTGTTAAATTTTCCAAGGACATCCAGGACAAAATGGGAGAACTCAAAGCCCATTTGTATGGGAGATTTGGCAGCAACATCTATCTTGAGAACGATGAATAAAGATTGATGGCATTTCTTTTCTAAATTGTAAAAAACAACGTGTATTAGAGTTACCTTTTACGACGGTGGTAGTTGTTGTTCGAACTGGTTGACTTTATTACGGAATATGAAAATAATGTTATCTGAACACGCAGCCAACGAGAGTTCCTAAAACAGAATGAAAATCATTAGGTGTGTATGGAGATATATCATATGACTTACCTGTAGAACGTTTTTGTCAACTGGAGCACGGTAATGTTCCCAGCGCATCAGCTCTTGCATCTTGAGGGAATATTTCGGTTTTTTGGGTTTTGTCTTGGTAAATCTGATTTGAAATCTACTTCGTTCCGGTGAGGCTTGCACGTTGTCTTCCTGACTCGAGTTGCTCGTAGGTTCTGGTACATGGCCTATGCCCTGACAGTCACAATTTAGCATTTGGTGTGTAAGACAATCATCACCTTCTTCGACTAGTGAGAACAGATCCTTCAATTCTTCATTTGAGAATTTGAGATTGCTCAACTTTTGCTTCTGATCGACGACCGTTCCGCTCAGAGAAGTTTTCGAAATCTGCCGTTGATAGATTTTTTCCTCAATAGAGAAGGCCGTTATTAGTCGGTAGATGAATACTTTTTGCGTTTGTCCGTCGCGCCAGATACGGGACATGGCTTGTAGATCGCTTGCCGGGTTCCAGTCGTTATCGTACAGAACCAAACGGGAAGCGCCGATCAAATTTAAACCTATCCCTCCTGCTTTTGCGCTCAGCAGGAAGATGAATGTATCCGAAGATGGGTTGTTGAAGCTGGAAACAATCTTGCACCTGTCGTGGGATGGAGTTGATCCGTCCAGTCGGCAGAATTTGTAATTGTAATGTTCACAGAGGCCCATGATCATGTCTAATGTTTTGCTATAGTATGAAACAATTACAACCTTTTCCTGACGTTCTATTAGATTTTCGAGCAAAGAATCAAGAACACCAAGTTTACCCGAATCGGTTGGTCCCATGTTTTGCCACGGTGGTAGTTTGTCGTTAAGTAGTTTGGTCAGGGATTCGTTATCACTTTTTTCCGTAGTCGAGATAAGTGAAGGATGATTGCAGATTTTCTTCAAGATGGTAATCAACTGAAGCGGCGAGACGGCACTGGGGCCAGATTGATCGTAGAATAATAAAGCAGCATGGAGAAGATCCGTCTGCAGTTTAGAGGGGTGAGCAAAGACCACCACTTCCTGTTTATCTGGCAGATATTTGTTGATGACTTCCTGCGTACGACGAAGAATGAAAGACGATGTTATAGTGTTTAATTCCTCGAGCCGAGACATTCCGAGGTCCCGAAATTGTGGAAGCACGCCAGGTTGTTGAGATTGAATGATTGGATTCTCATATTTGGATTTGAATTCAGCGTATGTGCCTAGAAGACCTGGATTTACAAAGTTTATCAGCGAGTAGAACTCTTGTAGATCATTCTGGATTGGAGTTCCGGTGAGTATAATTTTTCGGGGACACTCGATCCCATCTAGAATTGATGAAACCTTGATATCACTGTTTTTCAAGCGATGTCCTTCATCACAGACAATGAGATCAAACTTGACCGAATCGAGTTCTTCAATTTGTTTGGATAGTAGTTCATATGAAATGATCAATATTGGAATGTGAGGTGACTGAACGTATTTCCTAAGCTTGTTGTTCGGGCCCACGATGAATGTAAAGATCCGCTCCGTTGTGAGCCATTTGCTGATTTCCTTGTCCCAATTTTCTACCAAACTGCTAGGAGTTACTATCAGAACCCTCTTCAGGATCGGTTGACCGTAAGGTCCTTGTTTCATCAGCGTGTAGATTAGTGAAATGCATTGCAAGGTCTTTCCAAGACCCATTTCGTCGGCCAGGATTGCCCCGAATCTTTCCGAGTCAGTTAACCGAAAGCCCAAAATGCACTCGTAAAGAAAACTGATACCCTCCCTTTGGTGTGACCTCAGATGTTTGGCCAAGGAGTACGGAACTGTTACATCTGATACGGGAGCCTGTTTCTGGTTGTATTTCCATTGGTGTTCATAGCTCGGTGGTTGCATCACTAACGGTACAAAATCCGATGGAATTTCTTCCGTAGCACCAACATGCTTGAACGATTTTCCCGAAAAAGAAGTCTCACCCGGGACTTCACGAGGCTTAGGTGGTTTGAAAGTGTTGAGTTTCGGCCTCTTGGCAGGAACAGTTTGTTCTGAATTCATCTTTTCCGTTCGATCATTGGACAAGATTTTTTCGATGACTTCTACTTCCTTACTTCCGACAATCAGACGAGATCCTTCCTCAACCGTGTCCACTTTGATGCCGGTCGAGTTAGCTATTACTTTTCCTTCTTCATCCCTCAAAGTGGCGGAGCGCCCACATAGTTCGAGAGTTCCATCCCTTTCCCAGGTTTTGTGTTTCTTGGTACTTATCTTTCCCCAGACAACGTTGAATCGTGTCTTCGAATTTGCTACGCTGCTGACGACGGTAGGTTCCGCGGATCCCACACTTGAGTCCGCTGTTTTAGGCTTTCGAACTGCCGCTAGATTCTTCAAAACGTGAGCATGATTTTCCGCACTGAGCAACAGATCAACAACAGTTTGGTCTGCGTTATCTATCGGTACCTGTAACGAACCGGGTTTTCGCGGTCCGACCGATTCCGGTTTGGAAAATCCTTTCATCGATGGAGCACTACTGCGACGCATTATGCAAACACGATTAGTTGAGCGAATTTTTTTTATTAAATTTTCAATGAAAACAACGGAAAGCACTTTGTGAACGTTCAAAACTGAATTGATGTGCGACGACATAAGAAAAACTGTTTATCTGGCCTTTTTAGCGCGCTATTCAAATGACCGAATAATCTTCGTAGCGTACTAGATTAACAACAAAATCCAAATAGCGAATGACACACGCAAAGCAAAATGTGAAAACAGCAGACGTCAACAAAACCAAAACATTTTCTTATCCGTAAGTTCGATTTCGTGGAAATTTTGGTAGTTTCATGAAAATTACTCGAGCTACGGGAGAAAATTGTGCGCTTCGTGATAGACATTCCTGTACACGGTGTTTCTAATAATTTCTGTGAAAATTAGAGTGCTTCAACCAGTTCTAAGGTTAAGGTAAACAATTTAATCTTATCTATTTTTAGCAATCTTCCGTCTCTGCCTGATACACTTTCGTATAACAAGCTGAACATCCCACCCTCATTTCAGTGACGTGTACCTTAACGAACGATTGAAAGGCTATAGCGGTACACCGCTGCGCGACAAACTCCGTCTGCGATTAGGACTTTCGCGAATGATCGCACTTGAATCACGCCGCAGGAAGTTCCGAAATACGAAACATCAGTGCCCGTTTCTCGCACAGCAACCGAAAGGATGAGTGTCCGGAAACGGCAGGAACGTTCCGACCGGGAGCAGCAGGAACAGCTGTTGGCATTGCAGCAACACCCCGACGATGACAAACACGAAGCCAGTGACCTTCGGGATGACTGGGGCAACATAGCTATCCTGTTCTTCCTGTACCTGTTGCAGGGCATACCGATAGGACTGGCCGCGGCAATTCCGATGCTGCTGCAGAATCGTGGCGCCAGCTATAAGCAGCAGGTGAGTGGAGTGGTTTTTTTTTTTCCTAATGAGGGTGCGTGGTAGTTACACGTTTTGAATCTAATCTGCGTCGTCATTCTAATGATGGTGGTCTGGGCACGACTGATAACTAGATTACTAGAGTGTTGGTGAGGAAATGATAGTTTCCTTGGTCATTATTTTGAAAACATTGTACCGGATTGATTGTTCCAAGAATGAGCATCAATTGGTGTACTTCTTCTGTGTGAGAGAATTTTCGCAGATTGACAATTCTATCAGGGAAAACGTGCGTAGAAACAAACAATAATTCAGGCGTAACATTTGAAAACGGCACAACAGCTTTTGTAACCAAAAATTGTAAAGCCCTTTCCACGCAAACTAATACCGCTATCGGAAAGAGAAGAATTTCCCCTACCCGGCTGTGGGTGCGTGGGGGTACTTCGGTCTTCATGTAAAGGGCCTTACAACTTTTGTTTACAAGAGCTTTTGTGCCGTTTTCAAATGTCACGCAAGATAGGTCTTATCTATAACGATGATAAAAAAAAAACAATTAAACATGCAGATGGTCAGAGTTGTTTGGAAATGCTAACATGAAGCTTTAGTGTGATGATTTAATGCAGATGGTTTCGAAATCTTTAACACTTTGTATTATATTTATAGAACGTTGAGCAAACGTAGTTAAAAATGTGCTTTCAGAATCTTTAATTCGGCTTTTGGTCTTATCTTACTATTTTGAGAACATGGATCTCATCATTCATGTCGTGTGTTTAAAATATCTGTGAACTACTGACATTATTTTCTTCGCCGCAGCAAACAATCTATTTAAGTTACCAGCTATGTATATCCACACAAATCATAGTATTTCGCCGCTAAGTAGCAACACGGTTGGATAAGATTCTTTGATTTGAATGAAACATCGCTCGTTAGTTAGTTACTACCCAAAGTTAAATTTTCTCTTTTTTCAAGATTATGCCTTTTTAAAGGTGCAGGTATTTCAACATTACATCTGAAAAGAAGTTGAACAGGTTCCAATTATCACGTTGCAGTAACTTTGGAGGGTTTGAAAAATCGCTCCTCAACCGCCAGTGAACAGCCACATAAAAATCAGACTAAAACATAACTGACCGGTACTAATACCTTCCATCTGCTTGCAGGCCGAGTTCAGCTTCGCTCATTGGCCGTTCAGCATGAAGCTGCTGTGGGCCCCGATCGTCGATTCCCTGTACTGGAACCGTTTTGGACGGCGCAAATCATGGCTCATTCCCACACAGTATCTGATCGGAGTGTTCATGCTGATCCTCTCGATGCACGTCAACCGATGGCTGGGCAGTGGCTCCGAAGATGGAATGGACCACGTTGCACCGAACGTTCCCATTCTGACCGGAATCTTTTTCGCGCTGAATTTCCTTGCTGCCACCCAGGATATTGCCGTCGATGGGTGGGCACTGACGATGCTGAAACGGTGCAATGTAGGTCATGCATCGACTTGCAATAGTGTCGGACAAACGGCGGGATACTTTCTCGGATATGTTGCCTTTATGGCATTGGAGTCGGCCGAGTTTTGCAACAGCTACCTGCGGTCAGAACCGTCCGATGATGGATTGGTGACGCTTCCTGGATTCCTGTGGTTCTGGGGATTGGTCTTCTTGGCTACCACTACTCTGGTGGCTGTATTCAAAAGGGAATATTTACCTAGCGTGGAACGTGGACATGATGAGCACTTGGAGCTGGACATCAAGCAGACCTACAGTTTGCTCTTCGATATCATCAAAATGAAGCCGATCTTAATTCTAACTGCCATTTTGCTAACGGTGAAAATTGGATTTGCTGCTTGTGATGCTGTCAGCTCTTTGAAGCTCATCGATGCAGGCGTCCCGAAGGACAAGCTCGCCTTGTTGGTCGTACCCCTGGTTCCTCTTCAGATATTTCTCCCACTGGTAATCAGTAAATATACGACAGGACCTCGGCCCATGGAAGTCTACTTGAAAGCCATTCCGTACCGGATAGTTCTGACTTTGGTGGCTGCTGCTGTGGTATGGTTTACTCCGGTTCTCATTCACAACCATCATGTTCCTTACTACTACTATATCATACTGTTGATCAACTACGGTCTGTATCAGATCGCTCTCTACAGTATGTTTGTGGCGGTAATGGCATTTTTTGCACGAGTCAGCGATCCTGCCGTTGGTGGCACGTACATGACACTGTTGAACACCCTCAGCAATCTCGGTGGAAATTGGCCCACAACGGTTGTACTATGGATGGTGGATGTGCTCACGTGGAAGCGGTGCTCAAATGTGTCTAACAATATATGCTCCGATGGCGTGGAACAAGATGTAAGATCGCTACTTGGTTTAAAAATTAATTTCCCATTGTTAACGAACATTTTTTCTCCATGATTTCTTCCAGGCATGTACCAATGGAGGCGGTAAATGTAACATTGTAATCGACGGATATTACATAGAGATAGCAGTATGTCTGGTATACGGAATTCTTTGGTACCAGTGGGGAAAGCACAAAATTCGTTATCTCCAAAATCTGCCCCAGAGTGCTTGGCGCGTGGTTCGGCGGCAGCGGGAACATACGAGTTAGCAATTAATGCAGCTGATTTAGCTTGTAGGTCTCTAGTAGTGGTGCTGGCTTATTGAGAAAACCACCGACACGGCGTGATTAGTGCGAAATCGTTTGTTGAACGCAAAAATTTCTGTTGAGTATTTTTCGTTGTTTAGTTTATTTTAAAATTCATACGAGATCAGAGGGTTGTGTTTTTATCACGGAGTTTGTGTGCACAAGTATCATTCACAGGGTAGCAATTGCTGCGTATTCCACGAGTTTACATTACCACATCAAGCCTATATGATGCATGTACAACATTGCGTAGCATATAGAAGATGAAGAAAGAATTCGTAACGAGGCTATTGCTTAAAAAAATACAATTGTTTAATTTATTTTTGATCTTCATATAGCATAGCTATAGCGTTTTGATAAAATGTGTGTAAGATATCGTGAATTCCATTAGTTTGAACAAAATAAACCAATTCAAAATAAGCGTTTTTTTAAATTTATATGCATAAGGACTGAATATGCAGTTCAGTATAGTACTTACCGTAAACCGAAATTCCTGAAAACAACACGCTTAATTTTTGCAAAGATTTGCACAGTCATACAGCACATCATTTTGCCGAGATCTTATTTTACAGGAACTGGGTTTTTGAATTGCTAAAATAGTCGGTAAAAATTCAAATGACCGTTATCCTTAAGGAATCAAGTAATTAGACAAATTTTAAATGGGGTTAACAGAACATATAGCGAATTTGTTTATTATTCAGTTCCAACCTGGATCGGGTATCAAGATCGACTCTGCTTGCTTCCTGACAAACGTCAGTTTGATCGTTTGTTTTTAAAACCTACCTCAGGTTAACGTTCGCACTGACAAAAAGTTCGGTTTCGCACTGGGTTGGAACTGGTTCCAACCCCGATAATAAACAAATTCGCTAATAGTCTGTACAAGTTCGGAATAAATTATTTCATTTTTGAGATTTCCAAAGATGTTCAAACTTTTACCGAACAGTTCCGCAATTCAAAAACCCAGTAAAACCTTACTGGCTGGATTAGTGTGAACGTTTGGTTGCTGAGGCTCGCAAAATGTTTTGCTGCATTTCAGCAAAAAACGCCATGTTTGTTGAGATCCCAGTAAAATTTAATGCCGAGCACTCGACGACTCGACTGTGCAAATCTCGACAAAAAATGCCCAGCAGGCGAAAACAAAAATAGGTGTGTGCGTTGTGTGGTTATTTGTGCTGCCGCTCATCGCAAGTCGGTCTCATTTGCGTTGTTGTCAAAATTGAGTTTATCGATGGAAATGGTACTCTAAATGTTATGGTTAATTTGCTAATTATGGTTAATTTGCTAATAGCTAACCACCCATAGTTTCATAATACTGGATAAACTCAACAACTTTGTTCTGGAAAAGTTTGGAAAAATAGCCAAACGGATTGTCCTATTGCATAAGAAGCAATAGAGATTGCTGACGTTTATCGTACGCACACTACGTCACGTATACGTATACGCAAAATGTTTTCATCGGGAAAAAATAACTTCATAGCAGAAAATTTTCCCGATGAAAACAAATCACTGACACAATCATACTTTAGCAATCTCTATTGTACGAAGCTAACTTAATTCGATTTTTTCTCGGCTTGCTGTCGGACGGACTTGTCATGAGCGGCAGTGCATTGAGCCAATTAGAAACGTAAATTTCACCTGAAAATTCAGGTAACTTGTCAAAAATAGCAATCCAATAAGAATCACCTAATGCATATGAAGTTCAATGATATGGTCACAGACAAACAGACGTAACTCTTCATTGTGTATCTTCGTTCATGCATTTAACGGTTGTTTTGAATATTATCAGTTGCGCGAACTACTCGCCGCAGCGCTGGCATCGGATCACTTTGACGTTTCTATACATTCTATAGAACTTTTATGCAATATTGTTTGCGAGCTAGCGAGCAAGCTTGTTTTCCGCGAGAAGCCTGAGAGATGTCGTTACTGAGGTCATATGTTTTGAGATGCTATGTTTTCAAGAAAAACATTTTCAAAGAGTTACGTCTGTTTGTCTGTGGAGGAAGTAAAGCCGTTGGTCCCGACCCATGTGTGTTGAATGGGTGCGATATCCTACGCAGGTGTGGAGGCTGCCTTCCTGCACATTCGGTTGCTGTCAATGGATTGTAATTGATGTCTGTCGGTGATTGGCACTAGATTGCGGAACAGAGACCGACGTTAAATAAAGGAAAAAAAAAAAACACGCGATAGCCTGTTTTCGAGACTCGCTATTATTTATATACCTAGTTGCTCTTTGTTCGTTGCTAGCAGTTCAGTGCCTTTTGTTGCTACGGTGCAAGATGTGTGAAGTAAAAAACACCATCAAGTTTTGCTTCAGCCATTGTGATGCTAAACCAAACAGCGGAGAGATTGTGAATTTCGCCAAAGCACTCGACGCGGATCCGGCTGAAATGGAAGCTGTTTATCGCATTGGTGAGGAAAGGGGAGTCTTCATGAAGTTTAAATCAGAGGAAGCGATGCTCCATGCTCTGACATACAATTCGGAGCATTTAATCTTCCATTATGCGCATGGAACGACGGCAAAGGTACGCATGTCGCATGCTGGTGAATTCATCCAGTATGTGGGTGTGTATGACTTGTCACCAGAGGTACCCGACAACGAGCTGGATAAAGTGCTGGGGAAATATGGAAAAATTAAACGCATCATCCGGGAGAAATTTCCTACTGATCTGTGATTTGAGGTATATACAGGGATACGCGGTATATTGGGGGAGAGGTAGCTCATCGATTCTTCCGGGTCGCCTCCTAGCATCGTGCTATAAGGTACCAGGCGATAACCAGGGTAGTTGATCGATAGCTCGATGACGTCATTTCGTTGGCGTCTGCAATGGGAAATTCTCATAGCAGGCGTTGACGATGGGACGTTGTCGAGTTGTTGAATAGCAACTATCGTGGTAACTCACCGATTACCTGTCGATCTGCCAAATTTGCAAAGACGTCTGCATTGAATTGTCTCATATAATAATATTCCGCCCACTATATCACAAGAAATTGCGAGTAGCTGAGTGGAATGGAGATAAGTTAAGCATTGGGTACAGGACCAAGTCTCCCCTGGGTGGTGCCAAAAGATGAGCGCAATAGAATCATCGAGTTGCCATAAGGCACGGAATGAGACTATTGCATGGCTGGGTAGTCAAAGTCTTCCATTCGTTAGTCATTTCAGGTGGATTAGAACAGGTTTAGGTTTAGGGTGGGCGTTGGCCAGATTTGGATTTTTCAGATGTAATCCTGGATAGGACCCTGTCATTGAACGTCGCGTGAAAGTGGAACTTAATGAAGGCCTAAGTACTTTTTCGTAGTTTTTAGTTTTCGGATTTGAAAGATCGTCGGTTACAGTGGCCTGCTTACTAAGCAGAAAAACGCGGTCCCAGGTCCTTACATATCAAAGAGATTTATGGTAAAATCGCTTGTGTATCGTGTATTTTGCGAAACTCGTTGTTGTCGTTGGTTCCGGGTTTGAATGGATACACAAATTTGAGCAACGGTATTATGTGATATGAGGGGCTCGGTGGCCTTAGAGCAACCGTTTTTTCTTACTGAGCAGAACATCATGAGTCTAATCTCAGGCCCATCCACATTCAAGATTCGTCAATCTTTTTATTTGTTAATATGACTACATGGTAATAACAGCAACTCGGTGATTAAAAAGGTGCTCGTCTGCTTAGTGGCAAACGTTTTTGCTTACTGAGCAGAAGACCGTGGGTTTAGTCCCAAGCTCCTTCGCGTTATATGATCGTTAGGACAATTCAGCTTATCGTTTACCAAAACGAACCCTGCTGCAAACCCAACCCTCTTATCCAACATCCCAGTGATTCCTCGTGGAAGTGGAGAGGTGTTCTCGGCTTCCATCAAAGCGAGTGTCATGTCAACACAATCCTTCCCATTCCTTTCTTGACCTGTGTTCGGGCGCGGCCGGCGCTGGTATTGCCTAATTTAAGATCACCAGTTTTTACACATTGAGGATGATTGCTAGTCCCAAGCATCGTCTATTGGTTCTCTGTGTAATTACAGCTGATCTGGCAGTAACAGAGTAGCAACTGTGGGCGGTCAATCAAGCTCAAGCTATACAGGGATACGCGGTATATATATGGATGTGAAGAAGGAAATCCCTACGTCATTAAATCAACCATTATATTTCTTCAATCGCAAAGGAAATATATTTTATGATGGCAACAAAGATAAATGTTTTCTGTGTAAGGCGGACGGACACCGGAAGCTTTCCTGCCCCAAGCGGAAGGCTCGGAAGGAACCGGAGAAGCAACTAAAGGAAAAAGGAAAGCAAAGTGAAAGAAAACAAAACAGCAGCAGTACGTATGCTGGGTGTAGTGGTGGAAGGTGCATCGTTTGTCATTAGCGACCAGGAAACGGACACGGGGTTGGAGATGTTGAGTGAAAATAACGAAATGGACGTGACGACCCCGACGACCGACGAGAGTAGCGGAGAGCATGCAACGGGAAACGACGTTCAGAAGCAGCAGCAGCGATCACGATTCGGGTTCAATGAAAATGAGGAACAAATTCGGGAAAGAAAGAAGTTGCGTGCACGGGAGAAGATCGCTTTGTCGCGCTTCGATCGCCACCCACGAAAATCCTATAATAATATGCATTTTTATATCTTTTGTTAATATTTTGAGTACCAAAATTGGTATTCCATGTTACTCGGCTCCGCTAAGTTTTTAACATTTGAGCCTGCCAAATAAACGAAATGAAAAAAGGTGTTTTTTTCTAAAATTTAAGGACATATGTACGCTCAATTTTGAGATACACTGTATATATAGATTGGCCACCGACAAACCGACATGAATGATCAAACAAATTACAAAGAAATTTCTGATCATAGCACAAAACTGACATCTACCGCCGTGTTCGCGGAAAATATTTATCCTAGTCACGAACACGCGTACAAAATTTATGAGTTGGTTCGTGTCTAATCTATTTTGGAAAAATAAAATTTATATAGATAAAACATTTTTATGGTTTTGAAAGATGGGATCGCTGCACATTTGAATCGGCCGTTATGGATTCTCGATCAAGCGTTAAGTTTAAGTTTCATGTAGGTTTGTCGGTGGTGTAAAAGTTTGTCGGTGGTAAAAGAATCCAGCTTTCCATGCTCGGTAATGGCGGCCTGTTGGTTTGAATAAATGTATCCTTCACTGTGCGTTTTGACGCTATCTGGATGTTCGGATTTTGACCCCTCCCTTTCCCTCTCCCAGGAACAGAAGAAAATGGAACAACATACGCCCTCCAGTTAGTGTCAAAAAGCACAGTGAAGGATACATTTATTCATACAAACAGACCGCCATTACCGAGCATGGAAAGCTGGATTGACGAATATCACCACAAAACTGAAATAGTTGTTCCAATCGAGCAAAACAGTGCATTTTGACGGTTTTATTGGAGCAACTTTTGACAGACGTCCATATTTTTACCTAGAGGACTTTATCGGTACAAATACCAATAAATTTGTATATCTAGCAACGCTCCTGCCGGCTGTCCACAAGTATTTTTCACTTCCTATTATTTTTATAAAGGATTACCGCGTTTCGAAGACCCTACAAATTTTAAATGCAAATAAAGTTACGGTGCATGCCCAACCCTTTAAACCATGGTTTGTTTGACACATGTGGGAGAATAGAATGCAGCCATCTTCCCAAATTACAATCACTCCACTTTTATTGCCAATTGGTGAGGACTTGCTCATTAAAGGCGGTTTGAGTCCGCCTTCTCGTTACCCGGAATAGATCAATGAGAAGGGACCCAAACCAAGATGATAGTGTAGGATCAATTAGATAAAGCACTTAGGGTAGATCGTATTCAAAACAGGAAATACGACGAGTGCTTCATCGGCCTCATTGAACGAATATCCTCCAGTGAGCTTAGGTTGTCCGTGTAAATGAAGTAATGGTCAGGGTGAAGGGAGGCATTTTTTTACTTTAAATTGTTTATTTTTTATTTATGTGTTTAACATATTTGAATTCTCAAGTGACACTACGTCTTTTTGTGTGTAGTTAATTTGAAATTTTTATAATTATTATTTTAGTTACTAGTCCTATCCCTCTTAGGTCCTATTGGGCCTGTTTAGAGCATTCACACCTAGGTGGGATTGGTTTGTTTGAAATTGAAAAAAAAGGCTACTTAAAACTGTTAAAACTACCATTTACAACTACAACTAACCGACAACTACTATATACACCTAACCTATACTATATACAAATTGCTTATCAAAGCCAGAGTCAATGTTATAATAAGAGTCCCGCCAAGTGTGAAGCCAGAAGTACCAATCGATCTGTCAAGCGGGGTACCAAACAAGCAAAGTATAACATCGACTCTGATCAAAGCATGTTCTGATGTGTTGCATTTCTGCACAAATCTAGTATTGATGTAATCAATTTTAAAATCTAATGTTGGAACGTTCGCCTCTAGGTGGAGATTGGAAATTATTGTGTCGAAAGGACGAGCAAGGACCATCCTCAACACTCTATTCTGAGCGACCTGGATTTCGTTTCTATTAGTCTGTGCAGATGATTCCCACACCGGAGCTGCGTAGAGGATCGCAGGTGCTATGATTTGTTAGTAGGCAGCCAGTTTATTCACCTAACGAATGAAAAGTAAAACAAAAAGCTTTCGGTTTAACTGGTTCATCGGTTGTAGGGTGAAGTGGAGGATTTCTTGTAATTGTAATTGTTCAGTGCATAGGCTGTGCCTTCCGCTAAGAAGGCTTATCTATGGACCAACCCCCTAGTCTATACACCTACTGTCCTTCCCGTTGCACTCGTCAGCTCGTGCGATACTCTAGACACACATGGGTGGTCGTATCCGGGTCCTCCTCTGGGTAGGCTCGTGTCCGTCCAGGTTCTGGTACATTAACTTATCTATATGCATGGTAATTATACTTTTAAAACTCACCTTTTGATTATAAATACTGAAACTAAATAAAGGTTAGCGATCCATATAAGGTGTGTGCTGCGACGGAGTAGTAATTGAAGGAAATGAGGTTCTGATGTGAAGTATAGGTAATTCTAAAATAGGTAAATCAATTAATCATTAGCTGCTAACAGTTACTAATAAATGGGTACGATAAATCACTCATCAATGAGTATTGCCACTCCCACTGAAAAATAGGCAAAACCTTAATCATAAATGGATATTCGATTCCTACCGTGTATTTAAAGTAAAGTTAGGATCTTATCAAGCAAGCACACACCTTTTACGATTCTTATCCTACTTACGGTTTCCTGCACATATGACTTTTCCTAGATACAAGCTTCGTCCAGTATACATTGGCTGTCTCCAACCGGCATGATCCTTTCTGTCTGCTTCCTCTTGCCGGTGCAAGTTTAATTCTTCTTTTCTTGTTCTAATTTTCTTTTTCTCCTATTGATCTTCTGGTCGTGTTCCCATTTGTCCTCAGGCAGTTAATATTAGTACATGATAGGAAGAAAGAACGAAAGAAAGAAATAGAACAAGTTAAGTGTGAGCCGCATGCATTGGTTACTTATTTGGGTCATGGTGTTGTCTTCCCTATTTATTTGCCTCTATTCGCTCTCATATCGCAACGTTTAACTCTGGATCAACAATAGAAAAGGGACCATCAGCACTCGTAAACAAACCGCTCCAAAGCCCCCCACTCACAAAGCGAAGGCCACCCACGCAAACCAACACCATCATCGGATAGGGGAAACTTCCACCTACACGAAGATGGTGTTGGCCCGCGTGAGCAGCCCCCGATCTGTGAGGAATGGGCTTTGGACGGTCTGCCCACAAATGCCGATGGGCCCCCCTCCATTGTTGATCCAGAACTCACCCCCTTCCCTCACACTATTATGGTCGGAAAAGAGAACCCATATTTAGTAATCTATCGCGAACTGCGATGCAGAAGATATTAATAGCAAACTAATCTGGAACTGGTCTAAGACATATGACCCAGTGAGTATTGACACCTCACACTGTTGTGAATGAGCACGGACGCGAGATTTACTAGAGTATTAAATGCTAAACGCAAATTCAAAATAAAACTTGACAAGTCATCGTCAATCCCCTTATTCTTGGGCAGGGTCTGACGTTGTGAATCTGATTTTGATCAGTGAACGGGCCCCATATGGTACTTTTCTCACTATGAACATGTAATTTCGAGCCTATCTGAACTATTTAATAAATGGAAACCATAACATGGGTTACGCTTCCCCTAAGCGGGCCCTCCGCATCCTATCTCTGTTTTATCTCAAATGCCAATGGTTTGAATGTATCAATATATACATTGGAAATGACGTTCAATCAAATAAACCCATACCCCACTCACTTGGCCAGGCTTCAGAATCGTCCAGTGGGCAGTGCGCTCTACACTCCAAGTTCCCTTTCTTTCAAATTCACCCCAAATTTGATATTTTATCCCTTTGAGTGTTGATTAATCACAATGAAACATTGTGACAGAGCACGGACTTGAGGTTACTAGAGTATTAAATAATCTAGGTCCTATTTAGGATTACATCTGAAAAATCCAAATTTGGCCAACGCCCACCAGGGTGAAGTGGAGGATTTCTTTCCCTAAAAAAATGAATACCATGCTTATTGTGTCTTATTTATTACGCGAATATGGTGATTCTTAGATGACCAGACAGAATGAAAAATAGATAAATGAAAAATCTCACTTTTGTATTTTAGTTTTTGCAGTTTGTACAGCTGAATGCTTAAAATAGAAAAAAAAAATAGTAGAAATATAACAGATCGAATTAGTTTTAAGCACTTTCTCATAAATCCCTTTTCTTTACGTGAAAGATAACATAATTACCAAAAACTGTGGCTAGAAACAATCAATGTTGCCACGTGCCAGAAGGGTGCTTCTACCACCGACGAACCGACGTGACAGCTTATACAAGCTACTTTCAAATTTGTACCTAAAACGCCATGTTTAAAATACATTAAACACTACCGACATCTATTCATCCGATCACGTCATACCATGAGCAAGGACACGAACCCACGTATAATTTGTAATGCCTTGGTTTGCGAATCGCTCGTTTGACAATTAGAATTGTGGACAAACGAAATGCTCCTGTGGCATGTCGGTTCGTCGGTGCTTCTACTACCTAATAGGGAAGTACAGTATAGTAAAAATAATTTATGGATTGTTCTACACTGCTGGCGGTTTTGATCATAATAGGCATATGAAAAGATTACTTCTGTGCCGGATATACTGAGTTGGGTAAAAACACGTTCATCGGTCAGTTTTAATACCGGTCACGGTCGTAGGTGGAGCCGTTGGTGGTGGTGCCGTTCTTTGTCGAGCGGAATCTTCCCTCGCGGCTGCGACTGCGGCTATGGCTGCGGCTGTGGCTACGGCTCCGGTACCGACGGGTGCTCGGTGATTTACTTTTGCCGTTGCGTTTCCTGTCGCCAGCGCTGCCTGCTTTTCCTGCATTGCTACGTGCCGGCGGTGGCGATCTGCTAGCCGAACGACTAACTCTGCGGGAGCTCTTTTTTGCACGATTGTCGCTACGGCTGCTAGTGTCGCTGCGACTGTCACGGGACGCGCTGCGCTTTACCGGACGGTACACGTCCCGCTTGGAGAATCGAGGCGACACCGAACGGGAACGGGATCGGGAACGAGAGCGAGAACGGGAACGGGAATATGAACCACGTCTGAAGGTGCCTCGCCGGTCGAAGGAACGGGATCGACGTTCCCGAGGATAGCGCGAGTTCATGTGGTTGCGTTTGCCTGTGGAATGAAACGAGACGAGTTGATTGGCGTTATGATCGTAGAATAAAAGATCGAACATACCTCTTCCCTTGACGCGCATGTTCGTCAAATCCATTAATTTGGGGTTGATGACCTGTTTTGCCTCCTTCAGCACGTCAATCAGTTCGCGAGCCCTTCCAGCGTTGTCCGGAGTAAAAAAAGTGTAAGCCGTTCCGGTGTTGTTCGATCTGCCAGTGCGCCCAATACGGTGAATGTAATCTTCAGACGTAGTGGGATAATCAAAGTTGATAACAAACTTTACGTCGTCCACATCTGCAAGTGATGCCATATATTAGAGCTTATTCTGGAACCAATGACTAACGGTTCGAAAACGAAGGGTTAATGTAATCTAGCTTTAATTCAATAAGAAAAGAAACAATAGTAAATCATATTTGCTTATCCTTCGTAGTTTATCTTGTCTAGCAGACTCGTGATGTTTCGACGGCTAACCTGTTCGCACCAGGAACCACCAAGGAGGATGGCTAGCGGTCTGGCAGCGATCGCGTGACGAGCAGTGGAAGCCGGTAGGCCACCGTCTCGATTGTTAGTGGCCGACAACACGTGCAAGTGGGATGAACGGATGGAGAAACGGGACCATCCGCGGATGAATCTCTGTCTCGACTCTTGTGTTAGCGCACCAGACGACACACCGCCAACCACCAGCGACCCGACAACGTGTGTTGAGGATGGATGGCACAGATCGAACTTAGGGAGACGAAACTCAGTCGGTCGGTCCATTGGTGGTCGGGCAGTGAAGATTACCGGAAGCCGATCCCGGAGTCCACCACAACGGCCAACCGGGGCAGGGCCGGCCACGCAGCGGTTGGGAAGGCAGGCCAGGGATGTTCGTGTAGCCGTGCGTGCGGTTGCGCAGTGTTTTAGCCGTTAAACACCATCACCACCACGCGCTCGCCTTGGCACCACACCCGGAAACGCACAGGAAGAGGCACACACGACTTTGTGACATTGCAGGTCTGTTCTGTTCTTCCGAGCAAAGCAGATTGCGTTACTATTTCGCAACTTCTTTGCTACACATTTCTGAACAAGGCAGACGTTTTACTGTGTGCCTCTGGAAGAATAGAATAGATGCCTAGTTTTATTCAGAGAAGGACATTTGGCGCTGAGCTGTTGTTATTGGAATCTTAGAACATGTTGTGGAATATATTTAGGTACAAGCTGACTTGGGATGGGATGTTGGTGGTACTTACTGAAGCTTGGAGCATTTTCAGCACTTAACCTTTTTTGGGTACTGCAACCGAAATTGATTTCAAATCGATACTGAAAATGCTCTAGAGGCTTGTTGACCATTTCCAGGAACGTTTTCATACCATTTTATGTATATTTTCGGGTGATTTTATGTATGAGTAACATTGATGGAACAACTGGACAAAGCACATCATAAAAGCACTATTTATACGTATTGTACGACCTTTCCGTTAGAATCGGTTTACAAAAAACAGTTCGGTAGATTCCAATATCAACCCAGACTGACTTTTTGTTGTTTTTAAATATGAACAAAACTGTCTCTTGAAAGCTCGATATTTAAGGAAAGGTCGCCCAATTAGCGATATCAACTAGGGACTGTTCATAAACTACGTAGACCATTTATGATAGGTTTTAGAACCCCCTCCCCCTGCGTAGAAAATCGTCCATACACATTTTTGGAAATTTGTATGGACCGCAGACAATTGCCAATACATGGTTGATGAACAGCCCCCTAGCTCGCTAGTCGATGATAATCAATCGATTTGAGTATTCCAAACAGTAAGCTATAATGCAAAGGCCTTAAACAAACTTACCCAATCCTCTGGCTGCAACATCGGTAGCAATCAGAATTGGAGTCTTTCCTGTACGGAATGCTGTAAATTTAAGATTAGTTCAGAAGAGATCCGGCCAATCCACACATTCCAACCACACTTACAATTCAGAGTAGATTCACGGTCCCTCTGTGACTTATCGCCGTGAATGCACATCGCTGGCCATCCGTCGCGGATCACTTTACGGGTAATGTCATCGACACGTTTCTTCGTCTCGATGAAGATTATCGTCTTGCACTCCTTCTCGGCCATAATCTCACGCAACAGAATGCTCAGCTTTGCTTCCTTCTCGAACTCCTGACAGACGTCAATGATCTGCAGAATGTTATGGTTGGCTGCTAGCTTAAGTGAACCTACATTGATCTGAATGTAGTCCTTGAGATAATCCTTCACCAAACGGGCAACGGCATCGGGCCATGTGGCAGACCACATCATGGTCTGATGGTCCGGCCTAATCTGTTCAATAATTGTTCGAATCTGCGGTTCGAAACCCATGTCCAGCATACGATCCGCCTAAAAGAAAAATAGCTCATGAATACAAAACGGCACTGGTCTCCCAAATTCCCCAGCGCACAATTACCTCATCCAATACCAAATACGAGCAACGTCGAAGATTGGTATGATTAGTAGACAGAAAATCAATCAACCTCCCTGGAGTGGCAATAACTATCTCGACACCGTATTCCAGATCGCCACTCTGTTGTCGCTTGCCACCACCACCAAACAGACAGGTATTCTTGATTTTCATAGCGCGCCCAAAATCATCCGTAACTTGTTTGATTTGCTGGGCCAGTTCCCGAGTCGGTGCCAAAATCAATGCAATCGGTCCATCTCCCCGACGAAGTCTCGTCTGCTTATCAATATGCATCAAAGCCGGCAGAAGATATGAAAGCGTTTTGCCGGAACCGGTCTTCGCTATGCCGACCATATCCCTGCCGGAAAGTGCGATCGGCCAGCCTTGCGCTTGAATCGGGGTGGGAGTAGTAAATCCCGCAAAACGCCATTCATCCGCAATTTCCGAAGGGAATCCTACCTCCTCAAATGTCAGCGCCGGATCCGGAGTTTCTCGTCCCTTAATAGTGATTTCCTTGGACTTTTTCCACTCGGAAATCTCTCGTTCGGAGCGTCTGTAATCGACTTTCGGACGGTAGCTCAATCGCGTCACAGGTTCCAACTTATAGTGGTTCCAGTTGACTGGCTTAAGCATCAGTTGGCCTTTGCTGATATCATACCGCTGCTTCTGTGAGCCCCCTCCGCGGCGGGGGCTTCGGCTGCGGCTGCGACGGTAGCTGAACGAAGAAAATTTTCCACAATGAAAGTCAATCCAATGCAAAGTAGAAGCCTCAAACTTACCCTCCCCTTTTCCTCATAACAAACACACTTTAGATGGCTTAATATAAGTTTAAAATGAGAACCGTCGATTGCCGATCACTTGAAAATACTTTTAATACTCCAATAATGCCTCAAATGAGACGAAAATGGATAAAATTATGAAGATTTTTACTCAAGCAAAATTCCAACTGCAGCAGCCAACCAATTTTCTACTTTTTGGTGACTTTTGACGTTTTCGAAATCTCCGCAAGGGGGTTCGGAATGTAGCTTTTCACGCTATTCCAAAACTACCCAAATTTGGGTAGAATCCACCCAGATCTGTCTCAACTGAACCTACTCAAAAATGGGTAAACTATGTGTTGGCAGTTGCAAGTTAAAAAAGGAACAACATCGACATGAATCCGATTGGCAAATCAAAGTTGGTACTCGTGGAGAATAGAAGAACTACACGCTATGTTGAGGCTACTCAGTGACTGGGTGGATCGCACTCATTTTGGCATGCTGTATGGAGCTGTCAAAAAATGAGTAAACTGGTTTTGCTCCGATGAGTTGGATCTACCCAGATTCTGGGTAAATGGGTCTGATATCATTTTTCTCTAAGTTCAAAATGGCGAACTTTGAAGTTGTGAACAGGCGGTTTTTGCGCAGTGAGTTTAAAATTAGTTTTCAGAAGTGAAGCAGCTACGTAATGACCTGGATGGCCAAAACTATCAGCAGCTATTTGGTAAGGTGTACAACTCTAACAGTTCGTTGGTATCAATAAATACAGAATTATCATTTTCATAATGTTTTTTTAATATTCTTCCTGGACGAAACAACTCATTTATGAAGCATTCCCTCATTCGTTTCTTCCGAAACGGGTAACGGTTACTCAGTTGACAAATGTCATAATCTGAGTAACCGTTACCCAGTTTCTTCCATAGGCACGTTTACTCAAATTTGAGTAAAAGCTTGATTACTCATTTTTGAGTAACTTCCCTTTTGGCTGGACTGAGTGATTTTCGACTCAAAAATGAGTAGCCTCAAAATAGCGTGTATAAAAGTGATGATGGTTTCAAAATTTTCCACGGGGAAGTATACGAGTGCAATCTTAAAATGCTTTTATTTTGCAAATGGAACATTTTATTTAAATCTGGTTGGTGCTATGTTAGTAGAAAACTTAAGGACTACTCAATAGACAAATAATATAGAAAAATTCATTTCTTTTCAGATTTTTAGGTGTACACATAGATTTGAGCTTTTCTACCACTGTAGCAGCAACCAGATATAAATAAAATGTTCCATTTGCAAAATAAAAGCATTTTAAGATTGCACTCGTATACTTCCCCGTGGAAAATTTTGAAACCATCATCACTTTTATAGTTCTTCTATTCTCCACGAGCGCCAACTTTGATTTGCCAATTGGCAAATCAAAGTTGGCACTCGTGGAGAATAGATGAACTATAAGTGTGATGATGGTTTCAAAATTTTACACGGTGAGGTATACGAGTTCAATCTTAAAATGCCTTTATTTTGCAAATGGAGCATTTTATTTAAATCTGGTTGATGCTACGTTAGTAGAAAACTTAAGGACTACTGAATAGATATATAATATAGAAAAAATAATTTCTTTTCAGATTTTAAGGTGTATTAATAGATTTCAGCTTTTCTACAACTGTAGCAACAACCAGATTTAAATAAAATGCTCCATTTTCAAAATAAAAGCATTTTAAGATTGCACTCGTATACCTCTCTGTGGAAAATTTTGAAACCATCATCACTTTCATAGTTCGTCTATTCTCCACGAGTGCCAACTTTGATTTGCCAATTGGCAAATCAAAGTTGGCTCTCGTGGAGAATAGAAGAACTATGAAAGTGATGATGGTTTCAAAATTTTCCACGGGGAAGTATACGAGTGCAATCTTAAAATGCTTTTATTTTGTGAATGGAGCATTTTATTCAAATCTGGTTAGTGCTACGTTAGTAGAAAACTTCAGGACTACTCAATAGACATATAATACAGAAAACATAATTTCTTTTCAGATTTTTAGGTGTAAACATAGACTTCCGCTTTTCTACCACTGTAGCAGTAACCAGATTTAAATAAAATGCTCCATTTTCAAAATAAAAGCATTTTAAGATTGCACTCGTATACTTCCCCGTGGAAAATTTTGAAACCATCATCACTTTCATAGTTCTTCTATTCTCCACGAGTGCCAACTTTGATTTGCCAATCGACGTTGTTAATTTGTCAACTTGTCACTCCCAACATAGTTTACCCATTTTTGGGTAGGTTCAGTTTTGACAGATCTGGGTGGATTGTACCCAAATTTGGGTAGTTTTGAAATAGCGTGTACGCTACTTAAAAGATCCCAATAATGAGTAAAATTTTATCCATTTTAAAGAAAAGTGGATTAAATCCTCCATGGGTACATTGTAAACACGGTGTGCCATGGAATGAGGAAGACACCGTGTTTACAATGTACCCATGGAAGATGACGAGTTTGCAGAGGAAAGAATTCGTATCTACAAAGCGGCTGAAGTGAATGGGTATGAAAAGGAGTTCGTGGACAAAATTCTCCAAAAACACAAACGAAAGAAGCACCTACAAAATATAACCACACTAGAACCAATGGGAGAGGAAATAAAAAGAATCAGCCTGCCGTTCTATCCCAAAATTACGAATCCAATCAAATCCACACTCAAGCGACAAAGACTACAGGTAGTACACAAGAGCGACAACACTTTGCATGACCTGTTGTGTAATTTGAAAAATAAAGTTCCACCGGATGAACAGTCTGGAATTTATCAAATTCCATGCAAGGATTGTCCTTCAGTCTATATTGGACAAACGCGCCGCAAAGTAAAGGTCCGCCTAAAGGAACATAAACATGCTGTAGACAACAGAAAATCAAATGAATCAGCTGTGGCAGTACACACAATTACGTTAAACCATAACATTGACTGGAAAGGTGCAAAACTCATTAAATCCGTCAGAAAAACTACACATCTAAACGCCTGGGAATCATCATTCATCACCAATGCTGCTGAACCATTAATGAATGAAGATGAACCCCCCATTATATCCTGCCTTTTCAACCTGACAAATCTGAGAATCCAGTAGCTTCTCTTCTCTTCTTTTTGGACGTGTACGGAACAACGTATGAACATCCAAGTAATCAGTCGGACATTGTCCCGTAGATGGGCAGCATCACGCCCGAAACCGGTCGACAGTAAGGTAAATTTTAATTTATTTTAAAGTTGTAAGAACGATAAGTGTTGTGTCTTGTCTCGCGTCGCGTCTTGTGAATGTCATGTAGTTCTTACGTTAGCACAAAACATAAAAAATAAGTGTCATGTAAAGACATTTCCAGGTATTTTCATCACACAGATCGATAAAAGAAGCTTTTATCTAGCATCTGATAGTACAAACACAACAAAAAACGCTTATGTGCTCAAGTTATTAAGGATAGAGAAAGTCGAGGAAGAGAATTGATCAATGTTACTTAGGACCTAATCGAAGACAACAAATCAAGAAGACTGGCAACTCTTCCATTTTCTCATACAAACGCTAAGGTACAACTGCTTCATCTTTTTTTTATTTTATTTTATTTATTTATTTAATACAAGTATTAAGCGTAGTACAAATAACCACATGTGTTCTCAAAGCTCGTACTACACTGAGAGATGATCAGTTCCGTCTCGAAAATAATTGTTTACATTGATTTTTAAAGTATACGTATGAGGCAGCTTGTTTGCAATTCATAGGCAGTTCATTCCATAATTTCGCAGCACGTTGATGAAAAGAGGATCTGTAGATCTCTGTACGACATCTAGCGAGTGATAAATTTCTTGAGCGAGATGACCTCAAAAATGAAAATAAATTATGCAAATAAACAGGACCTTCATTCAGAATTTTGTAAGTTTGGGTACATACTCTCAGCTTTACGTAATTTTCATAAGTGCAACCTAAAATCCCCTTGTGATTGATGCCAATATGTTCAAAGCGAGGAATTTTATAAACATATCTTGTAACAGCATTAAATGCAAGTTGTAATTTTCGACTATTATTGGAGGAAGTAGATGTATATAGAACATCAGCATAGTTAAATAGCGGAACTAGAAGACTTCGAGCTAATTTCAAACGAATATGTTTAGGAGTACAGTCTCTCAACAGCACTAATGAATGCAGACCAAAAAATACTTTTTTTGAAACACTGTTTACTTGTGCAGTCCAGTTCAGATGCGAGTCCATTATTATTCCCAAATTCTTAACAACATCTGAATATGCTATTGCGGTATCACCTATCATAATGCAAGAAGCATCTGAAATGTTTACTGATCTATTTTTAAATATGATTGCTTGAGTTTTGTTTGCATTTAATTGTAAGCCGTTTGTTACACTCCATTCACAAATTTTTGAAATATCCGAATTAACACAACGTACGATATTTTGTAAATTTTCGACTTTACCAGAGAGGTATAACTGAACATCATCAGCATAGAGATGGTAAGCACAATAATTTAAAATACTTGGAAGGTCATTGATGAACATGGAAAATAACAGTGGACCTAGAACAGATCCTTGTGGCACACCACTTGTTACATTCAAAAGTTCCGATTTTGTATTATTAAATTCAACATATTGCGTTCGTCCCGTAAGATATGAGGAAAGTAAGTTTACAGAAGTTGTATCGAGATAGAAAAAACTACGTAGCTTCCGACATAACAATTTATGATTGATAGAATCGAAAGCTTTACTAAAATCCAAAAGAACTAGAACTGTTAGATTACGTTTGTCAAGCGCAGTTTTTATATCGTTTTCTATTTTAATCAAAGCTGTTGTAGTACTGCAATGTTTACGATAACCAGATTGTAAAGGACATAGTAACGTATTATGAATCAGATAATCGTTTAATTGTTTAGTCAGAAGACTTTCAAAAATTTTGGAAATAGCAGGTAGGATGCTAATCGGTCTGTAGTCCTTGTTGTTCATTGGATTATCAATTTTGCCAATAGGTACAACACGTGCTATCTTCCAAAGCTGTGGAAATGTTGAAGTTGTTATAATGTGATTGTATAAGTTCGTTATGGTAGGAAGAATGACAACAAGAGTTTTTTTCAAAACGCTGAGTGGTAACTGGTCAAAGCCGATAGAATCACTGGACGCGGAATTGAATTCGGTCAGGACTTCTTCATTCGTTACATTCCTA